GTAAAATTTTAGGCTTTTTTTGTTCGAAGATTTGGTATATTACGCAGTATTCGGCAGAGTACCGAATTTTAAGAAAAATGACCGAATAGACCGAACACCGAATAATAACCGAATATTCGTGAGGATAAATTGCCTAGGTACTCCTATGCACGTAAAAATTGATATAATCCGAAGTTTGCATCCATGAAATAAACAATTTTCTTATGCATAAAATTGTATCCTTATTGGCATTAATTGGCTTCGACAACGATAAAAAAGGGTCACGATGATTAAACAGAAATTGTAACTTGAATCTTGTAAACCAGCATCAGATTCGGTAAGAAGACTTGCGTATACATTCGTGGCGTGTATGTAGCAACAAACAAATTCAACGGTATTTTGGGAGGTCTCACAGTCTGCATGTTCAATGTTCGCATAAATTTGTAGGAATATATGAGAAGAGACCAGTTACAATTCACAGGACAAGCGTAAGGACGAATACAGCAGGCGAATAGCAGTCTCAGAAACTTAAATATGTATATACATAGGTATATAAACGTATGTACATGTATTATTTTTTCAGGTTTGTGGTTTTCTACACGGTAAAGCACATATACAATTTTTAAGAAGACAGTATTCTACATTCAAGAAAAATACAAATTTGCTATTATTGATTTTTATAGATTTAAGACATTGTAGTACATAAGGGTTCTCAACCCCACCCCCCCTTGCCAGATACTAAGTTTGTTGACAATGATTTCCCAGAAAATGTGCAAGCATCTTGAAAATGAAACATATTAAAAGTGTTTTGGTATCAGGATCTTGAATAGGGTCGATACCCGAAAACTGGAATTATACTTTTTGTTAATTTCATTTTTGCTGAACAAGAAGCACAGTGTCATCCATAGTCGGAGATTAAAAGAAGTAAAGCAACAAGTCACTGTTAATGGTTACTGCTCAAATTATGAATATTACTGTCTATTATAATGATTTTGCTATCCTTTTTTACCTCAATGCTTATGCATCGAAAAATCAGAAAAGGAAAATCAGCAACTTTGAACAGGGTTACCACGATGCCGTCCGAGCTTCTGTACTTTTATGTAATCGATATGTCATTTTCGATTTATTGATCATCTTAATTTAAGATGCAAAAATCGAATACAATCATAAGAATGTTACTTATTCATAATTCATCGTTTGTTTTTTATAAAATATACATACAACTTGTGATGTTTGTTAATTTGACGGCAATTTCTTTTAATAGAGCAATCAATAATGATAATTATTGTGTATATGTATTGGATGCCTTTGGCATTCATACAAGAACGAAAGGAAATGAAAATTATTTCTTCTTCTAGACACCATCAGCAGTACCTACACGATGTACGAGTTCAAAGTAATACGAGCTGAAGAAGACAAGAAGCAGTAGCGCGTGACTTTAATAATTTCAACATTTAATTTAGCGCAGTCCGATCGGCTTTTCGCGAGCAGGGGTAGCGAAAAGACTAAATGTGCATGTCGAATTAGCATAGGAATATTTTATGGTAGTCGTAAATGTCTGTTTTACCGTTTAGCGGCTGACATCTTGATTGACTGCCATTGTAACTGCCACGAGCGAGTTAGAAAGAAACGAACACATAAAATGTTCCGACAATAGCACACGTTATACTACTACTACTACTACTACCACTACTAGAACAAGTGCCGTATATTCCTTCAGGTTTGTATGCGTTTTTCCGTTTCTTTTCATTCTTACGTTGTTTTAAATAGAATTGGCATGATCAGTACATCAGAACACGAAGGATGGGAGACGTGTTCGTCCTTGAGCAGAGCCTTGAGGAACGCCTTTTTGTATTTTACTCCAAAACCGTTATCTTTTATTAAAACTACTAAACCACTTTGGTGTAGCTTCATTTCGACTTTTATAAAACCTTTCTTAACCACGACCTGCTGCTTGAATAACGTTATATTGTTATGGCATATATGATAATTATGTGAATGAGAAATCAGGTTAATAACTAAATATTTAAATACGGATACCACTTCAAGAGTGTATTTTTTTGCAATATAAACTTCTCAATTTGTTCTGCAAAACGGCGACTACTTCAAAGTAGCAAAAAATATACTTTAAATCAACTGTAAATATACGTTTAAGAATGTTCTATTAAATTAAAAATGCTTATTCAGTATGAGATTTTCTGCTTGTTTCTAACTCTGTAATGATTTACAAAAGTAGTAGAATGTTATATTACTATTAAGATTATCATCTTAAGATTACGCTTTGCAAAATGCTAATCAATCATCATCAGCATAAGGTCGTCAGTCCTAAGACTGGTTGGACTTGCACCTCCACTCTGTCTAATCCTGAGCTAATCTTCACATTTCCCTAAAACTAGAGCATCCCACATCCTTAACTATCTATGAACAGTAACTCAACCTAGGTCTATATCGACCCCTCTTAACTCCTGTTTCTGCTTTCAATCAACATTCAACATACAAAATTTGTCAATAAACGAAACTAGTATCCCTTTGCCCACAGAGGATGTCAAAAGTCCCTCAAGGTGGCAACACTGACTCAAATTCTTTTAAATTACAAAAAATTGTCTCAAGAAAACGAGGCTCTTTACCTATGACGCTCAAAATTTTATCACCTTACGATCCCCCCCCCTCACGCGGTCCTCTAAAGACTCGACTTCCATCTTTATAAATCTCATTAGCACGCCGTAGACAGTTCCAAGAGAACATCTGCTAATTTAACTACTAAGCAGTGTTCTAGACAACACCATCTGCAGAAATTCTATATTTTGTAATACTTAAATTACATTTGAGAACACTGTTTTAAGAATGATTGTTAATTTAGGCACGTTCGAAGTTAGTAATTGTAAATTTCAATTGACATACCCTGGTATAATTCGTTATTAATCGTTCTAAAAAACCGCGCGACGTGTAAAGGTTCTCCCACACGGTGCGGCAAGATGTGTTCTTTGGCGCTTTTACAATACGTTTAGCCTGACACATGTCAATCGGGCGTTATTTTAAACGAAGTAGACTATTTTTTGCATTTGTCTGCTATTAGGAAGCTACAGCTCGTTTTAAGAGCATACAAACCTGTTGTACGCGAACTAGTTTTTTCATTTAGTTCACAATGTACTATAACTGACCATTTGTAATGAATGAAAATGTTTCATCCTATTTTAGGAATTAATTAAATTCATTTGAATAAAAAACCTACTGTTTTATTTACCTTAAAGGTAATTGAAAGGATTTTTATTACGAAAATGGCAAAGTATCGAATAAAATCTTCAACCAGGCCAATTATGTGGTGAATCCGTTATAAATTGCGAATAGTGGCAATCCGCAACGGCTTCTGAACAAGCAACACGTTAGTAATTGGAATACGACATAAACAGCAATATCCTACTTCGTGCTACAAGCGCGTTAATATACAAACTTCAACTTTAACTGTATACAGTCAACTAAAAATAATTTTATACGATTTTATAATTTATATCCGCCGCGACGGCGGCGCGGATTCTTGAATGAGCCGTCAGCGCAACGGGAGTTCCCCACAAAGATGGCATAAACTTTCTTAAATTACGATTGAAACTTGTCGTTATTGTTTATGTTGATTTGATTGTAAATTGCTGAAATCGCAATAAAAGAGGTCTTAAGTACAGTCATCGCGCTCCTTTCATTGCCTTATTAAGAAAACATAATTCCTATACCTAAATTTCGCTGATTTCACCTTCACAAAATATATATATTGTTAAGGGAAAACGATTGGCCCTTCTCGTTTATTCTCAATTCTGAAAAAGCACGCAAAAATCATTTGCAGTGTTTAGTTAACTTTAGTTAATTGCTAATTTCTCACTAAACTGAAACTTTACAATCATTTGATATTTTAGAAATAGTACAGTGTAGATATGGAAGAATAGTACATTACGTATCGAGGAAAGAAACAGGGTCATTTCAGACTGCATGTTTGCTACCCTCGCCTTCAGTTCGGGTGGCAATTAACAGCCGAAGGCAGTCTGAGATAACCCTGTTTCTTCCCGAGGTACGTATACTATTTTTTGTCATGTTTGTGCGGAAAGGTCGTCATTAAATTGATAATTGGTAAAATAAGAGTAAATGATTTAGAGGTTAGAAAGACACTGTTATTGAACAACTGATTTCTGCGCATGCCCATAAACATAAACCATAGACTAATTTCATTTCCTCCCGACTAAAACACGGCTGAAAAGAGGCCATTTCTTCCCTATTTCGTAGCATGCAAAACGAGCTTTCCGCGCTAACATGACAAAAAACAATTTTTCAGCTGCTGGAGACATTTGCCGTGTACTGTACATTTACGGAATACGAGCACCTTAAATTTCTTCATCATGTTTACTACACCTAATCAGCAATTTAATGCCAGGATTCGGCAGTAATTACAAGTTCGGTGGTTATTTTTACGATCTGGCTTAAAAATTGTAACATTTTTATCGTCATAATGTCTGTATACACAACCAAACGTAGGTAAGGAAAAGTTGATGGTGATTAATGGCGCGCTCGTAAAAAATTGTATTTCTTAATTAAAGAAAATTACAGCCACCGGATAAAAAACCAAAAAAAAATTAAAAGCTCCAACCACCGGAGCCGAAATTCATTCTTACGCTCAAGTTCACAAATTTGTTTTAAACATATTTGATGGCATAAGAAAATACTACAGCAAGTAGATATCCATATATTTAAATGGACCTTGTTGGAGCATACGTAATCCTAAAATGCAGCATTGTACTACAGATGGCGTTTACCGCGCCATTTGTGGTATTTTCTAAAACGCGCTGTTAAGACAGCAGGTAAAAGTTGATCTGTGTTCTGTCGGAGCTGTTGAGATCCAAAAAGATCGAAATCGCGATCCGGGTCTGGCAGTTTCGACAGAATACAGACCACTTCGAATCATTTTATTTGATGGCACAACAAGAAAACAATTCTTGATAGGAAAGCAAGTAACTAACAGTAGTTTAATAGAGACTTACCAGAATCCATAAGAGCAGCTTTAACAACTCCCACGATGGTATTTTCTTTGACATCCTCTTGTATCGAAAACGTGTATCGCGGTTTTTCGAATATGGGTGGCCTTTGAGCTGAGTCGGTGACACTTATAAAAACCTCAGCGTCGTTTTCGGACTTCAAATTACCTCCATCGCTGGCTGAAATGTTGAGATGATGATAAGGCTGACTCCTTCTTAACAGCATATTTGGTCTGCTAACAAAAATTTCACCGGTATTGCGATCAATCCGAAAAAGACCAGCATCATTTCCGGCAACTATTCTGTAGTTGACGGTGCCGAAACGACCGGAATCTGCATCAGTCGCGGCCACCACTACAACAGGTGTCGTCGCTGATGAAGATACACCGCCCTCGCGGAGAGAAACGTTGTATTCTCGAGGGTAGAAGACCGGAAAGTTATCATTAACGTCGGTTATTTGAATTTTTACCATTGCTGTTGTACTGAGACCTCCTGAAAAAGAAATAAAACGAATGTAGGAAGGTTTTTTTTGAAAAAAAATAAGCTGTTATTGGCTAATAATTGTTATAATAACCAGGTCCGTAGCGAGGCCGGTTCAAGCGGTGCGGCACACCGGGGCCCCCGCAGTCGAGGGGCCCCTTAGCAGTTTTCTGTTTTCAAAAAATGACTTCTAAAAAAAACTGTGCTGTAAGAGATGAGCTGAGTCAAACTACGAAATGAACATCATAATTTTTTATTTTACTTTTTTCTGTATCAATTTTTGTCACAATACTCCATATATTTGATAAGGTACGTAGTTACATGGAATGCATACATCTCGAAATCGCGAATACCTCTACATTCATGGTTTCCTTAAATCCGTTGATATAATTATCATTGCTACCATAAAAAATTACTAATTGCTGACCATAAATCTATATCACCCGAAACATCACTATAGAATTCATTGCACAAACATCAAGTGCCTGCTCTTATTTCTAAAACGTTTTTTTTCTCGATTTGATAGCAGCAAAATCATCAATAGTTTGATCGAAATTTATTTTTCGGGCTCGCTCATTTTCAATTGACAGAATTGCTAATCCATTCAATTTCTCTTGACCCATTGTACGTGAAATTAAAACATTTTTTTTAATGACATTTTTCTGATCATCAATTTTAAGAAGGGCCCCTTGCGAAATACCGCACCGGGACCCCGAGTTCATCGCTACGGCCCTGATAATAACCGTAATTAAAAGACAGGCTATGGTATCTATCTTAGGAATGTATATAACTTACAAAATCGTGTTTTGTATCAAATAATAATTTTTAAGAAAATTCTCTTGAAATAACGTCGACAAAAAGTTCTACATGCATTTGAGCAATGTTTTAGTAAAGGTATGAGACACTCGCCATGCATCTCTTGCATTTTATGGTAAACTAGTTGTGCAAGCAACTTTGTAAAGGTATATACATACAATGATGATTCCTGTTCTCTCAGCGAGCGGTTATGTGTGAAAATAACGGAACTTACGGAAGATTGTCTCTTGCTGAGAATCCACGAATGGATATTTAGAATTTTTCTTTCACAATGTATATATATATATATATATTAAACTTAGTCAAACAAATAAAATTTAAAAATGGAAAATAGTACCTGTAGTGCCTATGTGACAACAAAAAATCACCAGAAGAATGAAGTAATAAAATTGAATTTTATATTTAGTTGTTAATTAAAATAAAATTAGGGTCATGAAGAATTTAAGAAAGTTTAAAAATGCAGCTATCTACTAGTTAAGTGTGTGAACCTGATTGAGTTACACAATGTGATTTTAATAAAGTTATCTAATGTGGGCCGGATCAAAAATGTACCGCCTTAAAACATTTGGGCATGCCATAAAAGGGTTCCAATAAGGTACCACAATTTGAGTTAGACCAGACTAATAAATACGACATACTGATAAAGGGTTGAAACAAGGTATCTACACTAGGGTCAGGTCAGTCCTAACAGGGCATGCCGTAAAAATGATGTTGCTGCTGAGTCCCTGATTAGAGTCATAATAGATGATCTAGTAAATTCGGGTCAGGATCTGAAGCTGATAGAGCTTAAAGAAAGTAGATACCAATAACTGCCTTAACTAGATATTGCTTTTTAAATGACTCCTTCAATTTGACCTGTAATTTATCGAAACTGCCTATTGCGTACTGATGAGATATAATAAATTCGAAATCGCGACTGACGTCTAATAGTTTCGATAAATGACTGGTCTGGAACTGAAATTGTTCTTAAGATGTCTTTAGGTTGAAAATGTAGTAAGAGCGAGTTAGTATGCTTCCATCACAGGATTCCACCCGCATCCTGGAAACCTATAAGACGAAGGTGAAGTGCGAGCAGCGAGAAACAAAAGTGAAAATCACGACATCAACATTGGTCTTCGAATCGTTTTTTGTTTATTTTGTTTTATTCGTTTTTTTTTTCTCGTATTATTTCGCGGGAACAAGCGCGCACGATATCGTGAGCGTCGTATTCGGATGGATTTGTTATCTTCTAGGACTCCATTCGGATGTGGGTATTCTTTACGGCAGTATTTCACGGTAATGGCATGAATAAAGCTGCAATAGATCACACCGATCGTGTTTACATAAACACATCTACTACGCTTGTCACTATTCCGAATACCGTAACAATTTCAACAAATATGATAAATTGTCAAGGTCATTGGAATCATATGTCCAGACGATTCCAGATTCGTAGGTTGTTTTAACCGAGAACATTAGACAGAAAAGCGAATAAAAGATGTTTGGATCCCCGAAGGTTTGTAGTTGTCAGGTATGTCTATGGATCTAACCGGAAATTTGAGTTATCCGTTAATAGACTGAAACAAAACCACTGGAGTCACTAGCTACGATTTCACTCCCATTCTAAATAGTTTTATTCGAAAAGTTCAACGGAGCCCTACCGTTTTGGAAACGGTGTATGCCCCTCTGTCAAAAGCTTCTAACTTGTGTGTATGTAAATAGGAATATGTATCGGCTTGAAATACGTAAATTCTTGACCCAAAAACGAAAATCGTACTGCACGTTGTAAAAAGATTTATTCAATTCTTTGTTTTAATTTGAAATTATAATTCATCACTAATTGAATAATTTTAAAATTACGTATGTATAACTTTTTTCTATTTTATAATAAATTTGCCTTTTAGTGTTTACTGTTTAAGTGGAGAATACGAATGATATGGCACATAATTTAGAGTTCTTTAAGGAAATCGATGATTTGGTGGTACACGAAGAAAACTAAATTTTATGACAATGCAAAAATTACAATTTTCGATTGTAAACTACTTAGTTTGTAATAATCTCAATTTTGACATTTGAAAATTTATTTCATGTTGCTTAATTATGATAATTAAATTTGTAATGTCAACTAAAATACCTAATAGTAAATTTATTTCTTCTGGGATTTTATTTTTAAAAATTCCGGTCCAAATTGTCGAAATCGCTAGAATTAAGAACTTTTTCGCACAAACTGTACACCCTTTAGATAACATTATTAATATTTTGTCATACGATGCAACAACAGTAATTAAACTGTTTGAAAAAATTACATATTCTTGTTGAAATTTGGTGGAGGTAAACGACTTGTGTTTGAAGATTAAAAAAAAACTAAATTTTTGGTAACTGTAAACTATTAAACATATTAAACATTAACTAAAGAATCAGTATTATGTACTGCATTGTTTGCATTCGTTAATTATTGACCGATTATACATTTTTAAAACTTACTCATTTAGGTTACTGTTCTGACGTATCATCGAAGTCTCCAGCGCATTCTCAGTATTTAGAGTATTTAGAGGAACTTCTGGATATTATATTAAAAGAAGGTTACGTTTCTCCTTAAATAACGATGTAAATGAACTTAATTAAGTACCTCCTAATTGTATTTATTATTTATTTTAACACCAAACCTTTATTTCTTATGTTAGCGTCTTAGGTTGTTTAAGTGTTGACAGTTGACGCAGTAGGGACTTATATATACATATATATATTATAATACGATAAAGTTACTTACCTCTATCAGTTGCAATAATTGGAAACTCATAAACATTTCTGGTCTCATAATCCAATTCAGAAGTAATGCAAACTTCACCAGTTGTCGGACGAATCTCGAACTGCTTTAGTTTCCCGAAACCATCCCCAAATGTGTAATTAACCATAGCATTAATACCGCAGTCCGGATCAGTAGCGGAAACCTGAAACAAAAGGTAATTGTTAAAAATTACGGCTGTAAAACAATAAATATGTAATAATGCTGAAGATATATAAGTGGGTAATAATATACATAATTTATATGAGGAAATTGGCGTCACGATAATAGAAAATTGAAAATAGTATGCACTTATTTTTCACTCTCATAAAAAGGGACTGTACTTTTTTTACAGTAAGATATCTGTATGATTTATCATTAACTAGCGACCCGTCCCAGCTTCGCAAGGGTGCAATGCTGATACTAAATATATATTTTTTTTGTTTAGATTATTCTCGAGGAGGGAAATCTTTAAAAGACACCCCCTCAACATAGTAAATATACTACAGAATGCCTTTATATACAACATTCACAGCTTTTTTGTCATTAGACAATACAAACCGGCCTCCCGGCCGGTACCACCACAACCGCTTTGTCCCTGCATTTTAAATCTGTAATATCTTTGAAAATATTCATTTAAATTACATGATGTAAAGGGCCATATTGATCTACATTAACTGCGAAATGTATTTAAGGTACTTAATTATAATTAATGCTGTATTGCTTAAAATCTCTTCGTAAATAAGCCATTATTTCTCATAAAAAGTAAAGGATAAAAAATGGTTATTGTGGGTTATCCCTATGAGATAGACATATACCATCGCTGACTTTTTTGTAGGCCTTTTTAAGATGTACAATACTGTAGTACATTATTTTAATCTATTCCGTAGGGTTGAGCCAACGTTTGCAATGTAAGCGCAAAAAATGTGTTTATTTACGACATCACATTAGAAACCTCTAAAATTATAGGTGTTTCTCTACTATATTATGCATGTATTATACATATAAACCTTCCTCTTGAATCACTCTATCTATTTAAAAGAAACCGCATCAAAATCCGTTGCGTAGTTTTAAAGATCTAAGCATACATAGGGACAGTCAGCGGGAAGCGACTTTGTTTTATACTATGTAGTGATTTGGGGTGAAAGTTCAACTTTTATTCGCTTCGTGAAATGAAACAAATGTAGTATTACTATTATGTAGTATGAATAGCTGCATAAATTAAAGAGATGTAAACAAAAACTTATCAAAAAACAAAACCAAAACAATTTTTTTTTTTGAAATACCCTACCCATATTAAAAGTGTTTGTTCACTCATGTGCCTAGTTGATTATTTATTTTTCGTAGCGAATTCCTTATAGTCCGCTTATTACATTTGAAAGAATTCGTGAAACTACTCGATTACTTTCTTCGGGGTCACATTAAGGGATTTTAACTGCCTAGAGATAATCGATCAAGCAAGCTCTGGTCCTTTAAGCCTCGGTCAAGTGTACGTTTTTGTATGCGCGTACATGTATATTTTCGGTTGTTGTGAGAGGCGCAATCGTCGCCACTCCGTGGCAGTGCGATGAAAACTTTTGGGTGTAAAATATACCAAACATGACAAGTTCGGAGAACAAATCTCGTCCGTTTTTGTCCCGTGTTCTTCACACAAACAATACATCAAAGTCTCGAAACGAACGCGTCCATAGGTGTTCTTCCGGACATGACTGATTACAGGCTTCGGCAAGGTGAGATGATGATGAGAATCAGGACGAAGATACAACGAGTCGAAGCGAGCGAGAACGAGAGACAGAGTATGAGAATAAGGACGGGAGGGAAGGTGGATCGTCATTAGTCCTACTCTTTCTCTTTTCCTTTTTCAACAACAAGGATGATGAATGCTGAGGTAAACATGCTACGATGTGAGAGAAGGACGCTGAACGTCGTTACCAGACCAATTTCAGGGTAATTATAACTTTTTTGACAGGAAGAAGGGGAAAGGTACACAACGTTAGCCAAGAATGTAAATTGGAAAACGTATTTTGAAGTGAAACTTGTTTACGCACGTTAGAGTAAGTTCGTTTCATGCGAGTTGCTATGTAACGAAATCATGCAACGCATTTCCACTGCTGTCCGTCAATATGTATGCTTAGATCTTTAATATTACGCAACGGATTTTAATGCGTTTTTTTTTTAGTAGATAGAGTAATTCAAGAGGAAGGTTTATATGTATAATACATGCATAATATAGTAGAGAAACACTGATAATTTTAGAGGTTTGTAATGTGATGTCGTAAATAAACACATTTTTTTGCGCTTACATTGCAAACGCTGGCTGAACCCTACGAGATAGATCAAAATAATATACTGCAGTATTGTACACCTTAAAAAGATCTACAAAAAAATCCGCGATGGTATATGTCTATCTCTTAGAGATAACCATCAATAACCATTTTTTATCCTTTATCTTTACGAGAATTAATGGCTTACTTACGAAGCGATTTTAAGCAATACAGCATTAATCCTTATCTAATTAAGTACTTTTAAATACTTTGTGCATTTAATATAGATTAATATGGCCCTTTACAGCATGTAATTTAAATGAATATTTTCGAAGATATTACAGACTTAAAATGCAGGGACATAACGGTTGGGGCGGTACCGGCCGGTTTGTATTGTCTAATGTTTCACTTCAAAGTTTCACTTCATTAGCGTGTTGTATAATTACAGGTTGTATTTTTTTAAATATAGTTGCCGTTTTCTAGAGAATTCATAACAAGGAAAAAATAAACTAAAACAATAAAAATATTCGCAATGAGCATGGTATTCTTATCGGAAAGGAGTGGACTTTATGGGCACTTTGGAAAATATGGTGATCGGTTTATGATGATATTAAACATTATTAATATTAAAACTGGGTAGCGGTGATCATCCGATCTGACTAACTATTAATTAAAGCAAGAATATTACATTTAACTCTGATTGAGAAATGAGAAATGTAATAATAATTCACCGCCTGCACTGCTAAACAGATGTAACAAACAGGCATTAATGCGATAAAGTCGATTTATTGTGAAGCAATTAATTCTTTTCTTAAACATCAGCCTATACAAGTGACCATATTCGTATGAAGATATCAAGTTGTAGGTAATTGAATTGGTTTTATTCGTAAAATGGAATAAAGTAACTAATTATACAAAGCTAAAGATAACAATATCAATGTAGGATGATTATAGCTGTTTGTTTAAAACAAAGTAGTACAAAAGGTTAATGAAACGATATACAATAAGTTAATGTCCAAATTGGGTCGATACCTTATCTACCTATGCATTTACAAAATCGTTTGTGAACTGTTTCGGTATAGCTGGTCAGTCACACGTCACACCTCAATTACTTCTTCACTTGAAAATACATAGATTATTCGTTTTGTAGAAGAAATTGTTATTAAAAAAATATATAACATAAATTGAGACTGATACATTTTAAAATTTCGTATTTAATTTAAAACACAAACTTTTGTAAGCAAATTTGTGTGTCTGTACCGGAAAACTTGTAACATAGAAATTTAAAACTTGACGTTAAAATAAAGAATGTTGACCCTCGTATTGTTTAACTATTAGTAATTCAAAAATGTTCTATGAGACAAATTATGCCATTTTCAAGAAAGTCATTTCTAAATAAATAAATTGACATTAATCAAATGAGATATAAAATAGAGGATATGAGATAAAAAACAGAGGAAAAGAAGTCACTTCTTTGCTCGCGAACGGTTACTTTAGAAATTGGATTGTGAACTATGAGGATACCGTGGATAGAAAAGGTTAGAAATGAAGAGGTATTAGAAAGAATAGGACAACAGAGGACTCCATGGAAGTCAATAGGAAGTGGACAGATAGGTTAATAAGACACCTTCTCAGGCATGAAAGCCTAGTTAGAGACATATTAGAACCAAAAACAGATGGGAAATGAGAAGATTAGTTCAGGATAGAAAAGAGTCGAGGTGCGTGTCCAACCAAACTTAGTACTAACAATCTTATGATGATTATGAGGATAATGAATTAAATGATAAGCTTTTATAGAACGTAATTCCCTCATTTCATTTAGTAATTTAGGGAAAAAAGTGTTTGGAACCTAAACTTCCCTAATTATGAAAATTGACTAGTACTTCGTCTTAAAGGTATCATGGCTAGAAATGTTTTCTACATCTTAAAATATGTTAGAGGGAGTCAACGTATTAACAATAATTTACTTAATCAATAGCTTTTACAAGTTTTGGATTCAAACCGCATCTACTCTTTTGTCTCTCGTATTTCCCGAAAGCTCTTGAACACGAGGAAAGCATAAAGCTCTACGCGTAAATAGATCGTAAAGTTTACAAACTTTTTCTTGAAACGGCAAACACCACCACGTAAGTAATCCAAGACGGCAATGTTTATTTAGCCAAAAGAAATCGAGTCGGCTTTGTCAAGAGGAGAAAAAAGGTGACATCGTTGTTTGCGATGCCCTAAAGGTCGATATTTAAAAGTCGTCTCGTCCGTGCACGGTCCATAACTAATCGAAAGTATCGAGTGTCAGAAAATCCGTACGCGGTAGAGTTGGAAGTATGGATTTTGTTGGTGTAAGATCGTAGTTGGCGAACGCCCATAGAAATAAATCCACGGCGACAGCGCCGACGACGACGACGCGACGGACGCGACGGACGCAAGAACAAATGACCCCGCGTAATTTACAAAGTCTATAAATCCTTAATAACACCACCTAACTATGGCGTGTCGACCAAGGACCATTTGTTACCGCCGTTTACACATACATACATATGTATATATACATTACACCCATTGCATCCCATCGGTAGTGACTATAGGTGGTACCGTGAGCTCGTTGGTAAATGCGTACTTACCAACCATTCCACAGACAAACTATCTATTTACCGGGATTTGTTGATCAAACTGTTAACGCTTCGCACTAAATAATTCAACCTGATTCGTTCTACTCCATTACCTTGCAATCGATTAAATCCTGTAGTAGACGGGATACACGGGTTATAATAATATATACCCATCAAACTGTGAAATAGAACTACGCATACTGTTTAACTACTTTTGAACTATTTAAACCCGTACCTTGGGCGGATTTGTCAATTTGTCATTTTTATTTCTTTCCGTTAAGTATTTATGAATTAAA